GAGATGGAATAGGATCAAGCGGACAAGTAGTAGGATGATATATATACACACACACACACATATTTACACATACACATATACACCCAATTTGGACATTTTCACTTAGGGGTGTACTCACTTTTGTGGCCAGCAGTTTAGACATTAATGGCTGTGTGTTGAGTTATTTTGAGGGGACAGCACATTTACACTGTTATACAAGCTCACTACTTTACATTGTAGCAAAGTGTCATTTCTTCAGTGTTGTCACATGAAAAGATATAATAAAATATTTACAAAAATGTGAGGGGTGTACTCACTTCTGTGAGATACTGTGTGTATATATACACCCCTCACATTTTTGTAAATATTTTATTTACATTTTTCACTCTTTGTTATATTGCAGCCATTTGCTAAAATCATTTAAGTTAATTTTTTTTCCTCATTAATGTACACACAGCACCCCATATTGACAGAAAAACACAGAATTGTTGACGTTTTTGCAGATTTATTAAAAAAGAAAAACTGAAATATCACGTGGTCCTAAGTATTCAGACCCTTTGCTGTGACACTCATATATTTAACTCGGGTGCTGTCCATTTCTTCTGATCATCCTTGAGATGGTTCTACACCTTCATTTGAGTCCAGCTGTGTTTGATTATACTGATTGGACTTGATTAGGAAAGCCACACACCTGTCTATATAAGACCTTACAGCTCATAGTGCATGTCAGAGCAAATGAGAATCGTGAGGTCAAAGGAACTGCCTGAAGAGCTCAGAGCCAGAATTGTGCCAGGGCACAGATCTGGCCAAGGTTACAAAAAATATTTCTGCTGCACTTAAGGTTCCTAAGAGCACAGTGGCCTCCATTCCTTAAATGGAAGACGTTTGGGATGACCAGAACCCTTCCTAGAGCTGGCTGTCCGGCCAAACTGAGCTATCGGGGGAGAAGAGCCTTGGTGAGAGAGGTAAAGAAGAACCCAAAGATCACTGTGGCTGAGCTCCAGAGATGCAGTCGGGAGATGGGAGAAAGTTGTAGAAAGTCAACCATCACTGCAGCCCTCCACCAGTCGGGGCTTTATGGCAGAGTGGCCCGACGGAAGCCTCTCCTCAGTGCAAGACACATGAAAGCCCACATGGAGTTTGCTAAAAAACACCTGAAGTGTGTCCGAACGCCATAGTATTCCAGACTATAAATGGACATTTCAAGCATTAATGATAAATAAAAAAAATTTTTGTATAATTAATTAATTTAAATGCATGTTTCTAATAAACACATTTATAACAGAACCTCAAGTAAACTACACATTATTTTGTTTAGTCATATACATGTGGGAGCTTTTTCAATGTATTACTCAGAACGACTTATTAGCCTACAACACCTTTAAAGACTTATTCAGGGAAGTACAGCAGGATGCAGGAAATGGTTGAGTATTATTTTAGGTATAAAATATCATTATTGTAATGCTTGTAATGTCCATTTATAGTCTTTACACAGCAGCTTGGCTCCTTAAATGTTTAAACACCAGCTAATTTCAAGACGCTGACTTCACGTGGGTCACCCGCAGTGTAAAACGCTCAAAGCTCAAGACGTTCGGTCGACGGTTAGACGTCCGAACGCCATAAGCTTCATATATTTCTCTGTTCACGCTCCACTTCATCTGCCAGTGAATTCAACGATCTTATCAGGTCTCGAGCCGCCATGTTTCAAACGATCCAAACGTAACACGCTTCCGCCAATCCCTGCCTTGAAGCAATGAGTGACGGAGGGTGGGCGTGGTCAGCTCGGAATGCATTTTCAAATTGAATTTTGCTACAAATATCCCACAGCGTCATGATGAAAATGCAATCGTAAGTGTTCTAACTGTTAGTCTAAATGCATTTAGGACAAATAGCATTTAAATTATCATTTTGCTACCATTTCTGCTTGAACATGTTACACATATCAAATCAATTTGTGTTATACATTTTCATTTTCATTTCGCAACTTATAAAGCGTTCAAATGTGCATGCAATTTACATATTAAGACTACTGTTGGAAATGGCAAATGTAAATTATAAAATTTAATTTTACTTTTACTTTTGCACTTATGGGTAATGGAAAATGTAAATTTAAATACAGAAATACATTGCCATTTTGAATATTGCGTTGCCATTTTGAATATTGCATTTTAAATTGAATTTCGCTACCTATATGCTTCCATAGTTAACTTGTCACTAAATATCTCATTTGATTATAACAATATGGATTCTGAACGTCATTTTCTTATCAAAATACTGCTTAAAAATTACGTAAACCATTAAGCTAAACGATCATATGTTTTGATATACAATCAGAAAAAATACACATTGTGGAAAGTAACAAAATTAACGCAGCAAAACAGTGCGACATGTTATTGCATAGAAGGACGCCCCATAGCCTATAAGCTGTGATAGCGGTTCTGCCTTACATGTATCCAATACTACATTTAGAATGCAAGTATTTTACACTTCAAGGGGTCCAACTATATATTTTAAAAACTCAAAATGTTTTTAAGGCCATCAATAGAATCTAAAGCGACACAGTCTCAGAGGTTGTGGGTCATTTCATTCACTACAATCAAATAAAGAAATCAAGTGACAGTTTCCAAAGTATTTCTATGAGAAAATAACGGCAACACAACGTGGAAATAGCGTTACTGCGTTCATCAAATGAGACATCAGCTATAGTTCCTTTAGAAAATGTACCATGTTTTTACTATAGTAAATATAGTGTAACGATAGCGTTTGTAATTAAACTATATAGCCACACATTTCTGAGTGTCTATGAAATGTACTTTAATATCATAAACCATAAAATGTAGTCAGCTTTCTTCTACTATGGTTCATTTTCATAATAGATAAACACAGGTCAAAGTTAACACGTTCACGTTTGCTTGATTCGGCCAGCTGCACAATGTGACGCCGAAAGTAAAATCCTGTCTTCAATCCAGAAACCTGTGGCTGAACCAGTGAAGTTCGGTAGCTTAGTGGTTCATTACTGGCGTCTTACTAGCAGACTTTTTAGTTTATTTTCCGTACTTAAGCTGCTACGGGCGATCATACCAATAATTTGTAATATTTACAAGAATATCAAAATCATGTAATGAGCAAGTGTGCATTTATTAGACAGCGTAATATCACGTCAGCTTGTGCTTTCAGAATCGGCCGCGGGCATTCCATCACATCAGGAGCGGAAACCTGAAAGTTGGTCACCAGATAACACGGTCACCAGTTAAACCGAAACACGGGCACTCAAAGAATTGGCGCGCCACAATATTCACGTGGGTACACGATTCAAGTCAAAATAAACTATGAGAAGAGTGGAAAATAATTTAGTATATAATAAAAGTGTTTTCTTGACATTTTTTTCAAGGTACATCTTTTTTTATGTGATCACATTAAAGCGCATCTGCTAAAATTCGAGTAAAATACTGCTTATATATTATATATTTTATCCTGGGGTGGCAATGCTTTTTCTTACATCCTCCCCTGTCTGGAGCCATGAAATAGCACCTACCTGTCGCTGAGAAATATTTACTGGAGTGTAAATTTTAAAAAAAATGTTTCAACGAGCCTCGATCTGCTCCATGGGGGGCCTTTGTTGACCTTACCTTGAAATTGGGAATTCTGTTGTGCACAGGTCGAGGGAAACTGGCCAGGTTTTTCACTTCAATGTAGTTCCATACTTTATGGCGTATATCCCATTTAGTATCTCCTAAATGTTAAAACAACAAGTCTCGAGTTAAAGACAAACCTGAAGTCAAGTAAAGAACACAACAACATAAAATAAGACAAGAAAAGAAAAACCTTGATTCGTTTTTATGACTGACTCCATTATGCGGAAGAGTTCAAAGTTATTTTCTTTATTAGGCTTGTGTATGAGATTAGCTAAATCTGCGCAGAATCGATCACCGCGAGATGCATGCCGGGTAGAAAAGTGAGTTACGTCCGACTTGCTCTGGTGTCATGCTGACGTGTGCCAAAAAACTCGAGAGGGTGCTCGCTGCAGAGCCAAATGGGAGGGGCTTGAGACATCATTGGTCCAGATGCACCGCCGCGCACGCAGGTAGAGTTCGTTCGAACTGATGTACAATCTGTATCGCACTGTAAGAAAACTGTACTTTAAAGATAAACTGAACTTTGAGATGTATATAAAATCGAAATCTTACATTTATCGCGGTCTCGACATGACTATAAATGTTATTGTTATGTTTTGATTCCCTGAAACATTAATCGTTAACGTTAGTTGTTTCGCGTAACTATCGATAGCTAATAAGTGCTAGCATTTTCCCATCCCCCTTGCTACATTTTAGCACGTGTAGTGTTTTTATTTACTCATAGTTTTTATTTAATTTCAGTATTTGTTTAACCTGCACAGATGCATCAGACAATACTTTTGCGAGGACAGGATCCCCTGCTGTCTATCCAGAGATGCACAGTGTGCTGCCAAAAATACCACTGTGCCTACTGTAAATCGGTGTATAACCATTTACATGAGCTCCGAAATAATGTAGCTAATCACATGCGAAATGCAGTTCAAGAAGAAGGTATGTTTGTGTCTGTGTGTGAATTATTTTAATTATAGTACTGTGGTGTGGGTGTGAGAATGCTTGTTGAATTTTTCAGCCAGTTATGGTTTTTAGTATTATATAATTATAGTTCAATCGTAGTAAAACCAAACCCCTGGCTCTAACATAAAGCTCTAACATTTTTATTGCAATATGATCAGTTATGTTATTGTTTACATGTGATTGCTCGTAAATATAGATTTTTTTTTTATTGTTGTATTACTTTAGAAATCTGGCCAATCACATTTCTCCCAGCCATTGGAACATGTCTGTACTGACAGATTTTGAGGTACAGCTTTTTAACTTCTTTGCTTGTGAACTTTTCATATCTGTAGTGGAGTGTTAAGAAAGAATGCAGTACACAGTTGTCACAGATAGCCCACCATGGGTGAATTGAGTAAACCAAGTGCACTTAAACAAACATAAAGACTTAAAACAAAAAACAATCACCAGACGTAATGGTAATGTATTTATTGTATATGGTCTAGTTGTATATGGTCTAATATTATATATTGTCTATAATTAACAGGGTGTCCCTCTTCAGCTAGGAGGAATTGATAATTGGGTATTCATGTTGAGGGTAGGTGGTTTTATAATTGCTGTACAGCTGTGTTTGTGTGCTAAACACTGCATTTGTTAATATAGTTTTGGCTTTGTTTTTTAGTATGCACGCCATGTTACGCTCTCAAAGCCATTTGATTTTGCTGCGGTGAGTTTGCATCAATTTATGGTTATTTGTAAAGCAAAAAGGACTGCGAGAACACTTTCAACAAAATAAAAAAAATGACTTAAGATTTTCAATTGCTATCTTTTATCAGTCTGACATGCCTATAATCAAGAAGTGGTGGTGCTATCTGTTAATTCAGACATTTCCTCTGACAAGGTATGATATTGATAAGTATACTTTAGATTAAAACCTCCATATTGTGCATTTTCAGTATGCAGGCAATATATAAAAAATAAAGCAATGCATGTCTAAAACATTGTTATGTTTGTCACTTCCCACAGTCAAGTCCAACAACTAGTCACCCAGGAACAAGAACTACCAAATCCAGAAGACATGGAAGTCACTCCACCGGAGTCAGAAATCATGGAGATCACCCCAACACCAGGAATCTATATATGTAGAGGGAATGTTTATGTATTGCTTGACTTGGTTATGTATTTAACTTTCCTGTTTCATAAAGGTGTTTATGAGCAGCACTTATTAATTACATTATTATTGGAATTCTTATATTGCACACAGGACGCAGCAGTGATGAAAAACATTCAGCTGGCCTGTAAGTGGGTGGAGGAGAACCAACACCACTTTGCTGGGAAGATTGAACTGCCAAAGATTTTAAGGATGAAGGAAGATGATGCCTTGTTGGCTATCGCAATGCGAGA